CCATGGCAATGCACACTAAGAAGAGATTTTTAGAAAGTCCCCCGCGGGGGGTGAGGAAGAGCATTAAGTCTTAACCGGAAAGAAGGCTTCCACTGTACTATTTTAGATGCGATTTTTTTGTTTTTATCTGCGTTTTAGTAGTGAATGCCATGGCAATGCACACTAAGAAGAGATTTTTAGAAAGTCCCCCGCGGGGGGTGAGGAAGAGCATTAAGTCTTAACCGGAAAAACGGCTTCGACTGCGCTACTTTAGATGCGATTTTTTGTTTTTATCTGTGTTTTAGTAGGGTATGCGATGGCAATGCACACTAAGAAGGGATTTTTTTGAAATTTCCCCGCGGGGAGAGGGGGAGGATTTAGTTTTCATCAAGTACTTAGGTGTATTAAATTAATAACATTTCAGACATTGTTATAAATATTTTTATCTATTTTGATTGTAAAAATGTTCGAACCGTTTTAAATTCGAATTTGTTATTGGATATTGGTCCGATTATAGGATGATTGTAAACATTCCAGAAAATTGATCAAATTGAAAATAGTTTGTTTGATTCATGGCAGTTCTCATCATTCTCAGCAGTAGGTGTTATATAACAATTACTATGGTTGTTGAAATACTGAATATAAATGGAGTTTGCTTGCAAAATCTGCGCAGGCAAAGCCGTAAGCAACAGCTAGTATTAAATAAAATGAAAAAGTAGTGGTCATAAAAAGATAAAAATTACAAACAGTACAGTTGGCAAGAAAATGTAATCTTAGAAAGCAGGACTTTGAAACTGGAACTAGTCAGAACAGAGCTTCCATTTTTGCTAAAGTCAGAATCTGGAACCACATATTATTTAATAAATTCTTGGCACCAGCTTTTTTGTTTTTTCTTTTCTATAAGGCGTAGGTGTTAAATTTTTCAGTTATTTTCTGAAAGTTTTGAGATGTTTGCAAATATCTAAGAAATTTTGTGAATTTAATGAAAAATTCTCTAACAAGTTATATTTCTGACATACTACCAGAGATATATTCCTGACATATTCTATTTATTTTTCAAAAGTAAACAAAATCAATTTATATTAATTGTAATTGATAATACAGTAATACCTCGACTTACGCTACCCCGACTTACACGAACCCGGAGTTATGCGATTTTCAAATCTTGTCGATTCGTCTTTTGATTGATCACCACGCAACTCTTGATTACTCACTCCCCCCACATTATTGTTCAGCTTACATGTTAGGACTTATCACGCGGAATCGATACATAGCTACAATTTATTTTGTGTTATTTATTCCTGTGTTTGTTATATCTACGGAGACTCGAGAGAGAATATGTGGTGATTTCTTGTAAACGTGAACAAATCAAAAGACTAGATAAGATTAATGAGAACATTTATTAGCTTACATACATCAGACTTGGATTTTACACAAATTGCAAAATTATACCCCGACTTACACGAATTCGACTTACACGGTTATTGCTCGGTCCTACCTATCGCGTAAGTTCGGGGTAATTCAGCACCTCAAACAACCTTTACAGCTCCAGTGGTATGTGTTTACACCTTAGCAAATGTTTTCAACCTCATCGAGGTCTTCATCAGGCTACTTTAATTATGAATTCGAACGTGTTTGGAATGGAATGTATACGATTCAAAATATATAAACAGATTTAAGAATACTCAAGGAACGTTACGCACGCGCTAAAACGACTGTAACGCACATGTAATATCAAGTTTGTGTAATGGTAGAAGCGGACGAATTATACACACTCATTTATGGGGATGAGTTGCCACTGAACCGGGAATCATGGCCGACATACAAAATGCCCACTTGATCAGGTTCTCACATCACACTGATCAACTGAGAACGATGGAAACTTTAGAAATATACAAGGCAGGATTACGTGGCACGTGCATCAACTCCAGGGATGCAATCGGTATATCTAGCGCGTGAAAGTTTTGTTGAGGGAACTCATTCCCATAAATGAATGTGTATAATTCGTCTGCTTCTACTGTTACGCAAACTTGATATTACATGTGCGTTACAGTCGTTTTAGCGCGTGCGTAACGTTCCTTGAGTATTCTTAAATCTGTTTATATATTTTGAATCGTATACGTTCCATTCCAAACGCGTTCGAATTCATAATTAAAGTAGCCTGATGAAGACCTCGATGAGGTTGAAAACATTTGCTAAGGTGTAAACACATACCACTGGAGCTGTAAAGGTTGTTTTAGGTGCTGAATTATAACTCCTCTAGTGTTGGAAGAAGTTTATTTCTTATAAGTTCGGGGTATTACTGTACCATAATTTGATCAATATTTAAGGAGCTTTTAAATAATAGTTAAAATGTTATAACATTTTTATATGTTAAAT